AATCCACTGCAGCTTGTCTAGTGCTTTCATTCCCAATCTTCTCCATACAAATTCTGGTCAACATCTCTCTCATGTGCACTCACTTCAGGCAATCTCTGTAAAACTAAACAACCCCCAATAAAGAGTGTGCTGAGAAATTTGAATCACATTCAAGAACAATCTCTTGGCCATTTTCAGGTTTCTATAGTTTGCTTGGGACAGGGGTTCCTTTTCAATTTTCTAGATGAGGCAATTCAAGAAGTATAAGTGATAGGCAGATTCCTAGGCTCCCACTTCACAAATCCATCTCAGCTGAGTGGAGGGCTGTGAGTATGGGCCACACTCCAGGGCATGCTCTGTCCTCTGAACAAAAACTCCAGCCTTGCTCAGATGCACCTCCAACCCCACTCCAGGCTTACATAACTTCTCTTTACTTGTGTATGACAGGGTTAGGGCTATTGTTTTCGGGAAAGAGGAAAAGGCCTGATGCTCTCTGTCATGTTTGGATCCTTCCCATGAGCCAAAGTTCGCTCCACCAAGTTTTCTCTCAAGCCGCCTTGATTTTAAGAGATCTGCTGCTCATTTCCATTAAAACCAAATCTTTTGCAGCCATCTCCTTCATTTCCTCCCTACTTTTTCCCCCTCCCTTGATATTTAGAAATTAACATGCATTTTCCCTCAAATTACAAGGTTAATAGTTGCTACTAGAGAAAACTTAGAAAAACAGAAACACAAATGTTAAAGACAAATTATCCACAACTCAGACATAACTATTAATTTTTGTTCTTTTTTTTTTTTTTTACTCACATATATATATGTATTTTTGCAAAACCAAGGGATCACACTGGTTTGTGACCTGCTTTTTGCAACTTGGTGTAAGTGCTGCCGTGTTCTTGTTCAGAAAGGATGTGCCCATTTATTCTTCTAATAGCAGGTACGAGAGTGACCCATATCCCTGCCACTCCCTTAGCACTGGATATTATCCTTCTTTTTAATCCTTGCCAATTTAAAGGCAACAAATTGCTGTTTTAATTTGCATTGCTTTGATTACTAGTGAGGTTAAACATTTACTTTCATGTTGATCACTTCCCTTGAGTTTCACCTTATCTTTATAACAGGAAAATGTAAGGCAGTCAGTTCAGTCACATCCACTTTCTGCTGCAAACTGGCTGATGGATGCCTGGTGAGAAGGTGGTGCAGGCAGAGGCAAGAGGATGCCAGCAATTCTGCAGAATGAAGGTCATGTCACTTCCTTGTCTTCTTTCACAAAACACTACAAAAGGAATACATGCTCATTGTAAGAAATCAAGGATTTCAAAAAGGGAGACGAATGTTGCAAAAGCTGGCCTCAATGCTCTCCTCCCCCACTCACAGCTCCTATTCCCCAGGTGTAACCATCTTCAGCCTCCTCTTCCTACCTCTTTATTGTCTTCCTGCAGGACCTGTGGCAATTGCCATGGATTTAGGGGAGCGATCAGGAGAAAGCATCAGGGACTCAAAAAGGAACAGGTTGCTCATACAAAGCTCCCAGGGTGGTCATTGGGAAGGGAAGCAGGAGAGACCACACCAGGTGTTTGTCTGTAATCAAATGAGCAGATGAATAGACAGTGAGTTAAGATTACCCTGTTTGCCTTGATTTCAGTCTGTATGAAAAATGGCAGGCTGTTTATTGCAGCACATGAGCAGTGTCCTTTGTTAACTTTTGTCCCTTGAGTATAAGCCTTTTCCTTTACAAAGTGGAATAGAAAACCTGAGAAATGGTTTGCCTTTCCCACATGAACCCTTCTCCCCATTTGGCAAGTCCTTGTGGGGCCCTCCATCCACCTTTCATCCAGCTCGCTTCCAGACAGTGGTTTGAAATAACATCCATTGCCTGCAGGGCCATACCCAATTCTGGCTAAAGGAATATCATCAAAGTCATGCTTAAAACTGATGCCAAGACTTGAGTAGAATTTGTAGTGTGAAAGTGGACCCATTTCTTGTTATCAGAAAATCTTTTGGAGGAAAAATGATCTAATTGTTCATTCTTAGTGTTAAAAAAAATGGCTGTTTTGAATGAGAAGGGCCATCACTAAACAGATCTGGAACTTTTGAAAAACTTTATTTTTCCTCTTTGAGAGATGCAAATGCTTAGGGAATGGAATAGTCCATTTTTGAACTAATGGGTCACCAGACCCCCGTTAACTAAAGGAAAAAAATAAAGACATTCAAGGTAGAAATACTTCTCATTTCCTTCAGAGATTTTTTCCCTTCTTTTCCAGCTTTAAAAACTGATCACCTCTCCTACTCGTTTTTGCATCATTTTTCCACACGGAATCCTTTTCTGCAAGGATTTAACTTTTCTTCCCGTTAGATTGTCTTGGGTAAGATGGTTTGGTGGTCAGACAAGATAACTTTCCCGCACATCCAGTACACTTAATACTATGTGAGTTGCTCAAATAACAAATTTTGTATGAGAAAGCTTCGTCTTAAACCTGGTCCAAAAGGGCTTCTTTCAAGAAGTGCCCACCTGAAAAAGGCAAGCCTCATTTTCTGGACCCCGAGGACAGAAGGATAGCAAGACTCTAGGTGATGCTGGTGGCAGTAATGGGCACATGTGTGTGTGAGGAGGCACAGAGGGCAGCTGCTGGTTGGTATTAGTTCTCTAACCCTACGTAACAAATTACCTCAAAACTTAGCACCTTAAAATAACAAACATTGATTCTCTCTCACAGTTTCTGAGGGGGAGGAACCCAGAAGCGGTTTAGCTGGTCTGGCTCAAGATGTCTCAAGGTTGCAGTCATCTCAAGGCTTGACTAGGGCTGGAGGATCTGCTCCCAAGCTCACTCACACGGCTGCTGGCCAGGGGCCTCAGGTTCCTCGTTAGCGGGTGGCCAGAGACTCTCCTACTTGCCGTGCCGGGCGGGTCTTTCCAGACATCCTGAGTATCCTTACAATATAACTTCCCCAGAGCAGCAAGTGATGCAAGAGAGTGCACACCCAAGACAGAAGCCTGTCTTTTGTAACTTAATCTTGGAAGTGATAGCCCATCACTTCTGCTGTCTTCTATTCCTAAGCGAGTCCAGACCACACCTATGGGGAGGAAAACTAAGCTCTACCTCTCAAAGGGAGGAGTATCAAAGAATTTGTGGACAGATTTTTAAACAGCTACATGTTGATACAAGTTACCTACACCTAGTTTGCTCTTGGGTCTACAGCAGCGGTCATTAAATTCTTCCTGTAAAGGACCAGATAGTAAATATCTTAGACATCGTGGGCCAAACTCTCTCTGTTGCAACTAGTTAACTCTGCCATTGTACTGCAAAACAGCCATAGGCAATACCTAAACAAATGATCATGGCTTTATTCCTGTAAAATTTTATTTACAAAGATAGGCCTGGGGCTGATTTGGCCCATGGGCAGTAGTTGATCGACCCCTGATCTACAGCTATGGACGTTATTGGAAGTCTAGCACGCTTAGTGATTTTGTTTCCTTGTCATCAGAATCCTGTTTCAAAAGAAATTCATCCACATAGCATGGCTGTCTGATCTCCCACCATCTTGTCTCTGCAGTTTAAAATTTAGGGGTGAGGTAATGGGAAGCCATAAAGGCAAATCTGAGAGATTTAGATGGAGAAAATTTCAGGACATAGAACTCCAGTCCTTGTCTTCTGGGAAATAGGAAGAATACAAGTTTAAAGGAGGAGAGCTGATTGGCACAACAGGGAACAAGACAGTGTCTTCATTCCATTTAACCACTGAAGTTGAGATGAAACAAGGAAGTCTGAGAGGAGATGCTCTTTAGACAACTGGAACTGTGGGCCTAGACTACAGTTAAAATTTTGACTCAAGGTGTGAATTAAAGGATCCATCTTCATAAAGCTCCTGCAGCTCCAGACCACCGAGTTCACCAAAGGAGTGAGTGTATGGGGGAAAAATGACTTGTGAGTACGAAAGATGAGGTGGAAGGCAGAGGTTCTTGTAAACAGCAGTAGGGAGCATGTAGGGGACAACACAACTTCAGAACTAGAAGGGACCTCACACTGTGGGGTGGGAATGAGAGTAAACATTTATTTGGCAATATTCATAAATAAACTTTAAGTGATTATTTCTAGCTAGCATAAAGTTAAACCCATCTAAGTTCTTAGACCTAATTTCACCCTCCTTGTTCCGTAGGTTTCATTTTGCAAATAACGACTTTCTTCTCAGGGTTGATTACCTTATTATATGATCGAGTCAAGCAGAGATGGGGCTGAGAATTCCACTTTTCCTTCACATTCACTTGCAATGGAACCTTTAACTTGTATATACTAGATAGTAATTTCCTAAATTAAATATTATCCTCAAGAAAATAGTTCATCAATCTCACCATTGAAAAGTTATATTTTACTTTTTTTCAGCCAAAAACACAGGTACTAAATCGTCATATTAAGTTCAATTTAAAGGCTAAATCTTCTCAATCTCTTTGATGAGACTGACTTCAGAAATGAAGAACCCACTGCTGGTAAACTATTTCTCAAAGTGGTTTATTTTTGCTTTCAGGCCACCACATGGCCTATCATGATTCTAACTGGGTAAGCGGGCATCATATCAACACTCCTTTGTTCTATAAAGCTTTTCTCCCTCTTATCCTGAATCTAAACATAAACAGCAAAAAAAAAAATATTTTTTTCGCTGCAGCTTGCTTTGCAAGAAATAAGCAACTTCCTCTGAGGTGATTTCACTGAACTTATTTCCATAAATAATTCTTGGGTATAAAATAACGATACAAAGACACTATTTTTTCTATTTAAGGTACTCACAGCTGGGAGAAGTACATGAACTTTAGATATCCAGCTTCTTACTTTTGATGGAAAGTGTGTGTACTTAATATCAAGAGGAGACCAGGCAGTGGCAATCAGATCCAGCTATACTCCCTACAGCCCCAGAAATGCAGGCCAGGAACTCAGTGAGCACTGAGTTCTGCCAGTACCCTGAGCTGAATTCATCTCTGTCAGGTGAGATGCTAACAACCCAGTCTTTCCAAAAACATATGTGAACTATTCCAGTTTTACTAATAACTTTATTTAAATAAGACACAGGAACTTCTATACTGAAAAAAATACAAAACAAAAGCCACACATTTCCTTGTGTAAAGCCATATTGTATGGTAACTCGAATACTGTTCACCGCAGTGGCTAGAATTAAACAGTACAACTATATACAAAATTTAAACAATTTCTGACAAATTTCTACAGCTGGATGTAGGATACATTTGAGCTCAACAACTTCTGGGAAATTTACATGGCAAAGCATAAGCTTTAACACATTTGGTTCAAAACTTTAATATATGCTAAGAACAAATGTACAACACAATTAATATTTAGTTTCTCATGAGAAAATAAAAGTACGTCACTATAAATATCGTACATCAGATTTCATCACCAAAAAAGCATATTCAGTCCATCTTTCAGAAACTGATATTGATACTATTGCATCTTATTTGGATAAAAGCAGAGCAAAAGATCAACACATTATGTAATGCTAAACCAGATATCAGAAGTTAATGGAGCTCATATTTATCTTACAGAACTAGTAATTTTCTCCCTTTAACCATAATCTACAAAATATAGTATTTTCATCAAGGCCTGAGATTATTAGGGTTAAAGGTGTCTGCTGCTGAAGAGATTGTTTCAAAAGGTTCCCCTGTGAAAACGACAAAAGTAAACTGAGTCCTTTTCCATGACAGTCTCCTACAATATAACACTGACTAATTTAAAGGAGCCAGAACGCACCTTCGGGAGAGAATATTACTGCAAACTTTGGTGGAAAGAAGATAACTGGGATCATGACAAAATAATACACAGAATACACACACATACCAACATATACATATATGTGCCATTTCTTAAAAAAAAAAAAAAAAAAAGGTGTTGCTTTCTTCTTTATCATCTCTTCCTTCTTCGACCTCCTTAGAAAATAAAATAAGGAAAAACCCAGGAATGACTGAAGGGAACTGAAACGTTCCTGCAACTGGAGGCACCTTGTTCCCCTAATTCTAACGAAAACTGTGCCATACTATGTTTTATCGAACTGAAAGCAATGGAATAAAAATAGAAAAACTTCTCTCTGCTTTTGGATACTCCCTTTGTGCTGCAGAAAACAATCTCTGAAAGTCGGGCTCTTCCACTGACTAATGAGGAATATCTAGGGCTCTCTCTTCACACTTGGTTGAGAAGTAAGGCTATTTACTTGGGTTTATGCTCTACTTCGCACTCTCAAAATATTAACAGAACTATTCATGATATTGTTATGAGAGGCTTAAATCAGACAGCTTCAAACTACCACTATTGTAAGTCACCAGATAACCTGCTTACTTAAATTGCATTGATTCTTACTTAGACCCACACATTCTCTCTCTACGTGAATGCAATTCATGCCCCTAAACTACTTGAGGAAAACAATCATCAAAAGTCTGTCCTTTTTTAACCTGCAAATTAAAGAATTTCCAAAAGAGAAACTAAACATTAATATGCCTTTAGATGAAACAGTAGCATTTCATGACCCTGATGGCCAACATAAACAAAGAAGCTCAGCTATCCCCTGTTCACTTGTCCAAACTTCCCTTGTTCAGAAATTAAACCTAGACATTCTTATCTTTAAATTCCATCACCCACAACGTGGAATGTTTATGTACAACCCGGTAGTGGACACTTTATTTGCAACATTGTAACAGTCATTAACTGAGCAACACCTGACCTTGTTAAAGAAGCCACATTTACACGTGTTGAAACAGCAAATGCAACAGTTGTTTTACTTGTAACCACATGACAAAAGTGATGTCCGACACCACAGGTTTGCTGGTTCTCCTCATGTTCACCCATGTCCAGGATCATCGTTCTCATAGGGTTGAATGCACTTCTTATTCTAAGCATGTGGAATGTAATGAGGAAAGGGAAATGCACAAAATAAGGAAAGGCAAAAGAGTGATGTTCTCTCTTTAGCGTTTTAGCTGTGAAATATTTAATATCCCAATATGATATACATTCCAAGTTACCTGAGTTTAGACTTCAACTGAAGTACCTGAAGCTAGGCCATAGGGTGGGCACTGTGCAACTGTTGTGGCCATTTATTTTTTTTTTTTTGCATTGTATGTATTACAGAAGTTAGAAACAAACACCTGGATCAATTGTAAACATAATCCTGAAGTACAGTATTTTCCATAGGACAAAACACAGCAAGACATTTTCTATTTAGACAGGCAACTTTTTGATATAGAGCTTATTTATACTGAAGAATTTGGAACAAAACACAGGACACAGTACTAATCTGTCAAACATACTATGAAATGCATAGTCTCCACTTAAAATGCTGAATGACACACACATTTTGCAAGCATTACTGCTTTCCACAAAAACTGCTGAATAGGAGTTCCGTCCCTGCCAAGATCAGTGTTAAGAGATACTTTATGATGCTGATAAGTATTCTGTTGGTGGTGGTGGTGTTCAGTAAGGTTGTCACTCCATGCAGATAGATATCTGAGATCTAGTTCCTGGTCCATGGATGCAGGGTGGAGGCCAGCTCCTCCTCTGCTTTAGATGATCACGTAGTTCTGAGCAGAGACGTGTTCCTCACCCTGCAGTTCCTGCAGGAGCTGCTGCTGCTGGGATGGCTGTTGAACACAGGCCTCTGTGGAGCCTGCCGTGCTGGTGTCATCAGAAAGAGATGCAAAGGAAACCCGGGAGGAGAGCTGCTCAACGGTTAGGGTTGCCAGAGCTGAGCTCTGGCCAGAGTTAGGAGAGTTCTTCAGCATCAGGTCGGAGGCAGGTAAGAGAGGGCCTAGAAGTTTCACAGGACAGAAAGCTGATCCGGTTGGGATGAAATTAACCTTGTTTTTGTCAGGACATGAAAAGAGAGGGGCTGAGATAGGCTGACGAGACCTAAAATCATAAAACAAAATTAGGTTTGCAATCACTAAAAAGTTAAGCACTTTCTGAATTAATTGGAGTTCTCTAAAACAGCTAAAATGTGAATGGCAGGGAATGAGTTAAGTGTACACAGAGGGGTAAACATCTTCCATAGCACAAGTCAGCTGGCAGACCATTGATGTACACAGCACTGAAGTGATATTTGAGACAAAAGGATTTTCAAAAGGTCTGGGCAGACAAATATTTTCAGAGATCATTAGTTTGCTTTCAATCATTTAGGAACATGGAAAAACCTCCTACATTACAGTTGACGATTATGCAAGGTTAGAATGACCTTTTCTGTTAGGAAAAAGGATATTGGGAGAGGGATTACCCCCATCATATATTTGGTTGTAAGCATTTCCTCCTGTTTCTGCATCTCTATACATACTCTACTGACAGATCAGGAAAAAAAAATTTCAGTAGTTTCTTGAAGAGCCAGTCAGCCTCATAGGGCAGGGTTGACAAGCCCTTCCTCTCTCCCCATTCCTGGGAGCTAAGCCAACAACTCCTGCAAGAAGGGTCTCTGTCCCCTCGTAGGGTGCAAGAGGGCACCTGCACTGGGACAAAGGGATGAGTGAGTCCAAGAGCCACACAGTCTTTTCTTAAGCTATTCTGACAAGTATTTATAGCATGAACCTCTTTTCCCTTAATTTCTAATTTCTCCATGTTAAAATTTCATAAAGGAAAAAAATCTGTGAACAGAAAGTCTAAATTCAATGAATATACATGCTAGATATGTCTACAGGGCAGGACGCTAGCTTCCCTCTGGCTTGTGGAATCACTGTCATTAGGCTAGCCAAACATAGATATTCAATTTGCTGCTAAATTAATAAAGCTTTTGAAAGAAAAATTCTTAGTGATTGAAAATAGATCTTTTAGGTAGTAAGGATGAATTTCCGTTTCTTTGTATTAGCTTACATATTTCCAACATACAGATTCAACTCTTCTCCAATAAGAGCTCTTTCACCTATTCAATTCTCTTTTTATAATTTGCTTTTGAAACACATTATCAGCTGGATGGAGTAGTTGATTCATCTGTAATCAACTGGTCTCAGTAAAAAGCTTTACAGCTTTGCAGATCCCAGCTGATAGAAAAGACATTACTTACGCCATTTCCTCAAAGACCTTCACTCGCTCACATCCCTCTGGGGGCTCCCGTTTGAACATGTAGCTGTTGTTTGGTTTGGGAGATGAAGCATACTTGGGTAACGGTGAGCTACTCCCACTGTCTGTAAATTTAAAGCAGTTATATTAACTAGTGATTGAAAGCTCTTTTAAATTAAATTTGATTTCCAAACAAGCAGCCTTTTGCACAATTTATCCACTATTGCCCCTTTGCTTCCACCACAGAGCTTCCTTTATTGCAAAGCTATTTCTAACACCCTTGTGTAGTACATTTCTTAGAAATAAAAGCTTCAATGCAACAGTAATCTGCCATACTACAGAACATAAAAGGAGGATATTTTGGTCCAGAAAACTGCATTTTGAATAAAGCAGAGCTATAATCCTGAAAACAAATACATTATTATGTATTTCAAACTGTAAATGAATGGGGTAATATGTGTAAGTCATGCAAAAGAATTACAAAGAGATTATAATACAGGGTTATTTATGTTTTCTCACTGTCCATCCAATTTAATTGAAAATTTTAGTATGTGGAATAATCTTCCTTACAAAAGTTCTTAGCAGAAACATTACTTTTACTAAACAACATGAGTAACATGTATGCAGGGAAAAAAACAAGTTTATAACACATAATGTCTTTTTCCCTCGGCCCACCATGAACAAGGTAATTTGCTCAGAATTTTGCCTTTAAAATGTATATATGAAAAACTTTTGCAGCACAATTTGTATTTTTGCCACTAGAAGCATGAGAAATCTAAAAGGATCTTTACCTAACATGTTTTCTTCATATATTCATGAAAAGCCATAAAACCTATATGCAATTTCTCCCTTTCCTACCTGGCAAAGGATTTTGGAAATTCAAATCCACCAAAATGTGTCATTATCTTTGTAAGATGCCAAGTTGCAAAGTCAATAACATACCTGTATAAATACAATAGTCCTATTTAAACAAATTCTGACTTAATGCAAACCAATTCCCACTGCTAAAATATGAAGCACATGATCTACTCAGATGTATTACTTTCATACATATTCTGAAAGATGGCAATAGTACCATAATAACGTTTGTCACAATTTTGAAAAGGTGCTTTAGTTTAGGATACAGAACACAGTCCAAAATTCAGAATCTGAGTAATAGGGATGTTTTTATCATCATTCATGACATACAATACATGCCTAGAAAGTAGACCCTCAAGGTGCACTTAGTATTGGTGAATGATTCAAAGAGCATCTATGTTAGTCTTGGGAATGCACATGTGTGATTATATTTGAATATGGCTCTATCTCTGGCTGGTAAATCATTGCCTGCAAAACAACAAGGCCACACTATTGGGAAACATAGAAAACCACATAGTTTCTCCATCACCACTATTTTGCATGTCCCTACAGATTATGCAGTCTCTTGGAAGGAATAAAGTTGGGTTTCTTCACATACCATTCCGATTTGAGGATTTTCTTAGAGTCAAAATTTATCCTATACTGTTTAACCAAATGGGAGGGGGAAGGAGGAGGAATAGGATTTTCTCTCTTAGGTAGATGCAAAGTATGGTTAACCTGACTAAAGCCTGAGTTTGCTTATCTCTATTTGAGGTAGGCTAGACCAAAAAGACTGGTCCACAATCAAAAAGTGGTGAGAAAGAGGTCCTGAACTCAGTGTAATACCAAAAATACAGCTTGACCTTGCTTTACCATCCAAACAGCTACAAGCTATGCAGAGGAAATACATAAGAAAGTATATATGACATATGATACCTCCATGAAGATTATTGCTGGTGACAACACAGCCCCCACAGTGGGCAGAACCGGCCTAAAACCATAGGCTTGAGGTCTTTAATGAGCCTTTTCTGCCATCAGCGGGAGTGTGACAATGTCTTTAGTCAAGGATCCACCCTATTATCATGGAAGGAAAGTCATCTTGACCACATTTACAGTCTTCTGTGTTATATTTCTTACTACCTCATCAGGCCTATCACATGATTTCTTTCATAACTTTATTGATGGTTTCAAGAGACTTTCCCAGAAGTCAAAGCTAGATGTCAGTTGGATAACCTACAAAACCGATTGTTTCTATTCACAATATGCAATAAATTAAATCTTTATTCTTCTTAAAATTCTTCTAATTTCTTCTAAAATACTTATATTTTTACAGTTATACCCATTTAAACATTCTTGTTCTATCTTTTTTTGGGAAGGGTGATTAACGTTAAACAATAAAAAATATACATCTATTGCTATCCTAAAACAATAGTATTCAGTGCTATTATATCTCCTTGCCTTTTCAATAAAAATTATTTGGCTTTTTGTTGCAAATATATATATATATATAAAACATTTGATGTTTGGTGCTCTGGAAAGACAAAGGTTGAAAGAAAAAAATTTGGAACTATAAACAGATTTGTTAAACCTGGAGTTTTTTCTTCAGGTAAGTATGCAATCTGATAGAGTGTGAAGAGAAACAGGGATTGGAGACATCTCATCTGTGGTTTTAGCTCATCACTAGTTGTACAGTTGTATAACCTGAAACACAACTGCCTCTCTGAATTTCTACATAACTAAAGGAACTGCCATTCCTAACTCTAAAATTCTGTGATTTTTAAAATGGTACTAACATACAAAGAAGGAACACTGTACCAAAATATTTTTTTGCTTTACAAAATGGCATGCTTTAAAAGCAACCCACGTGAATAACCTATTCTACCTATTCCAGACGTGGATGTCTAACTTATTCATTTAGAACTCTGTGTTGAATTTAATAACTACATTTTAGTAACAGAATATTGCAAATGTGAGGTGAGCATGCCTGCTCAGGAGATTCAAGATGAAAAGTGTCATGGTAATCTTAACTCAATCCCTTTTGTTCACAAACATGATAAATTTTCTCATTCTGCTATCCTCCAGTAGGATGATAACTAGACACGTAGTTAAGTTAAATGTTACTTTTTGTTCTTATAACATCATAGCCAATGTCAATTAATACAATTAAATGCATTGAATATGATTTTTTACATATCTGCCTGCATTCACAATAGTCTCATCTATAACAGAATCACCCAACTCTGAAAATCAAGAGTATGGAAACATTTTATTGGCTATTATAACAGAGCATACCTATATCAAACATATGGTATCATATAAAAACGGTATCATATTTACCATTAAAATACAAGCAGCTTGTCAAATATTTTTAAAAACATGATAATGAATTAAAGCTTGGAAAAATTAGAGATGTTATTAAAGTTTGGAATTCCATATAGAAATAATATTTATTAAACTATACATGTTTTTATAGCTTAAGAATTCTCTGAATTTCTCCTTATAAATGGCATTCATTATTTCTAGTATGTTAAGTTGCATGTCCCACAATTCCAGCAAAAAAAAAAATCATGTACACTAAGCTGATTCCTTTATGTGGTTTGGTATGTAAACCTCTGCCATGTTTCTATTCTAGTGCTAAGTCTTTAGAGGTGCTTTATCTCCTCCTATCAGATTGCTTTACCAAATTAAGTGAATTAATTCTAAAAGAAGCAATATAATTACAGAAAAGTGATATGTAACTCTGGTTTCACATTAAACTCATCACATGTTTTAAAAATACCAATAAATACTAATGCCCAGATCTCATCCCTAAGAGCTTCTGATTTAATTAGCCTGGGGCTCCTCCCAGGCTTTTTCTTTTCTTTTTTCTTTTTTTGGTAAAGCTCCCAAATGCTTTTGAAGTGCAGCCAAATCTGAGAATCAACTACGAAAATGTTCAAACACTGGTTTGGAGTCAGGGCACCTGACTTCTACCTAGGTCTAACTGCACGACCTAGGAAGTTGGATAGCTTTGCTTTTTCATCTGTAAAACAGGAATAACTACTGATATGACAGCTGTGAATAATGTGTGCAAAAGGATTAGTATGGTGCCTGAAACACAATAAGCTCTCAATAAATATTACTGTAATAGTAGAAAGAACACATCATTCCTAATTTGCAAGTTGAAAAAAGTGAACCATTCAGAAATTAAATGCCTATTCCACTTTCTCTTGGCAGACGAGTAAAGGAAATGTCATTTTCTTTTTTTTTTTGGAAGATTAGCCCTGAGCTTTTTGCTGAGGAAGCCTGGCCCTGAGCTAACATCTGTGCCCATCTTCCTCTACTTTATACGTGGGATGCCTACCAGAGCATGGCTTTTTGCCAAGTGGTGTCATGTCCGTACCCAGGATCTGAACCAGTGAACCCCGGGGCACCGAGAAGCAGAACATGCAAACTTAACTGCTGTGCCACCGGGCTGGCCCCGGAAATGTCATTTTTAATAGATCTGCACACTCTAACTTTATTCAGGTACACAAAGATAAGATTTTGTGTCTGGTGGGGGGGACAGAGTGATATTCTGAGTAAGATTCTCCAGTTTATGACTGCCTAGCATGAACTCTGCCAGTTCATGAGCATTCTTTAGCATATAGAGATCAACCTGAAATTAATGCCTAAAGCATGCAGATTCTATAGATTCCTCTACAGAGAGAATATTTTTATAATATGTGCAGCAATAACCAGTAGAATGTAATTCTTATTCTGTCTTTTGCAGCTAGAATAAGAAGCTGGGAACGTAAGCACAGAGTTCAACTATCACTATATTCAATGACGTACAAAGAGCATAATTAAAAGTCAGCCAATAGAGTTAGATTAGCTGTATGATTGACTAGGATCTAAACAGAATTACTACTCTAGTATTAAAATTCTTTTGCTTCAGGAAATGAAATTATCAACTGTAGTGTGGTTTGATGGCCTAATGATATCAGGAGAAACACACAATTGTATAGAATTTCTTGGCAACAAACTTGGAACCAGTTGGCATTACCGGCTGTATTGAAAAGCCTACATTTTCAGTTAACTCCAAGACCAAAGTGTCAACAATCTGCTGACATGAAGGAGAAAATATCAGAACTTTTATACATATTTACTTTCTATCTCTAAGAATAAAGTAAGCTTTACTAGCACATACTTAGTTTGTGGACTGAATTATACACATACATAACTTAGAAATATATGAACTTATATTAGGGGTACAGATTAAGAATTGCTGAAAAAGGTGTGTAATAAATCAAGTTTGGAGACCACGGGA